TACCGGTGCAGCGCTCTACCAACTGAGCTAACAAGCTAACTGGGAGCTGAAATCTAAAATCCTCATTCATCACCTGGATGGTTTATTTGGACCCAACACATTAACCAGCTCCCAGTTGGCTTGTTAGCTCAATTGGTAGAGCGCTACACCGGCATCGCAGAGGTCATGGGTTCAAATCCCGTACGGTCCTGTATTTTTTTCAGGTCCTATTTTCAACAACTTATTTCAGTAGTGTTCTTAGCTGGGAGGATCTCTTAATTTCAAGCCTAAACCATCATATCCGATTCAGTGTTCGATCAGTTTACCACAACAAAAGTAAATCGGGATGAAGAGCAATTCCGACCAAGAGACATGTATTTGGTGGAAATAACCTCTCAAATGATTGGAATAGTTTTTAACCTTAACTTCAGTACTCCGCTTTTCGCCAGAGAGACCAGAGAACGTGTTTAGAGTGTTTTCAAACGTTGTCAATCGAGAAATGGGTTCCTTGTTTATTCGTTCTCAATCCCTGTGCAAATAGACAGTACCTATATCGTTAATTGCAGTATTCTTTCCAGATATCACAACACCTATGTTTGTTTGGAAATATTTATTCTTCTCAATTTATATATTAAAAAAAACACTAGCTTCAGAGAGCTTACAGTATTTTAGCATTTAAGCGTCCTTTGTTCTTTTTCATCCTACACAAGCAGACGTTAATAAAAGAGTGTGAAAAAAAGGTGTGAAATACTTTACATTTCCCAACAAAACACTGAATACTAATGAGTGAAAGCTGAAACAACTAGTATTTTGGTCACGTTGCCCTATTTTTGCGTAAATTCTGGCATCTTTTGGCAATACTTCTTTTGCACTATTCCCACTTACACTGTTCGCTTCCATAGACAGCTTTTTAGGTCTTCCCGATTGAGGTAAATTTGCCACGGAACCGGTGAGACACAACTTTCTAATGATGCACGAAACGCTTATTAGTAACCCTTAGCGTTTCAACGCTTTTTAATGTTTCAGCTGGGTGGAGGCCTTGCTTATGGAGGATCTTGATTTTTTTCTAGAATAATTTGAAACTTTTGCGACGATGACTACGAAAAGTAGAGTACGTAAATGATCCCAAATGCATCGACACAATTAATTCCCTAAATGTTGCCATGGTTGTAAACGACATGGGTCGCGCGGAGACTGAAATCGTAGCGGGAAATTCTATGGAAGTTTTACATGGATCAGTAACAAACCACAAATCCAACCAAATCTTTTTGAGAAGAATGAACAATAACAACGAATTTTCGTTCCGAATATTCCCCACATAGAGCGAATTTTCGCCCGAAATTTCGAGTCGCATTAACAACATCAAGGAATATGTCGCCGAAAGTTCGAGCCGTTCAAAACAATACATGCCTCGTACACGAAAATATCATATTTCTTCAAAGTACTAGCTGTAGGTTGATAACTGAATATTTTGACGAAAATTCTTCAGTTAATATAGGTGGATAAAGCCAATTTTTTTTTTTACTCCATGACGATTTCTTATAATTGAACAAAACGTTTCCCAAAAAATGATGATCACTCAATCCAAAGGTGGAGATGAATTGGATATCAGTCATACTGAAACTAAGCTTCTGATCTGACAGCCCTTTGTATCATAAAGCAGAGCTCCAATAAGAGAAGGAAGACAGAAACAGAATGCATGTTACAGAACAGGATTAGAAAAGTTCTGGCTCATTAAACGTATGCTTAAGAAACAAATTCTTTACTTGATATTACTTATCATGACAGGGGAAGTTTGAAACAATGGAAATTAGGTTATCGGCGGTTAGACCAATGGCAGTCAAATTATTTCGTATGTCAGCTGTTCTGCCTTAGTTACTGCCAGTACAATATATAATTTGCCTGTTAATTGCCATAATTAGGTTTTGTCACATCATTCTGTGGCCTGACAAGCTATCATGAAAAATTCATAAATAACAGTTGTAATTGTGCAGGCATATCACAAGTCAGCAAATTCACCCCCACGACACCTTTCAAATCCACATTGTTGTCCCATTTTAGAAATGATAAATAAAATTTGTTAAATGATAAGCACACTGATATTTAAACCGTATGTGCTAAATTAGGATAAATTGGACCTGAAAGAATTGTTTTAGGTCACGCAACTTTCCTACAATTTTATATTTATAACAAAATCGAGCAGACGTTCAGACCGGTAAAGCTCGCAAAATTTCTGTCATGATTTAATTGACTAAATTTGTTAGTCGTTAAAAATGTGTGCGTTAAAGAAATGGATAGATGTAAACCTAGTCTGTGAAAATGAAGAATTCATTAGATGGTTTCCTA